ACCCCAACTGGGGCCTTCCAGATGCAGCGCCCAACAAAGTGATGAAGATGGTGTCCACCATAGCCAGGTAGGTACCTTGCCACTCTCCTCCTTCGCCCCCTTCTTCCTCCTCCTCAGGCTGGGCTGCTCGCCATAGCCAGGCTGAGCCCCCAGCTGCTCGTCACCTCCAGGCAGCGCTGCCCAAGTCCAGCGCTTGGCTCCAGCAGCATGTCGCCAATCCTTGCATACCGCAAATGAGGAGGAGCTGCTTGCTCCTCCAGAAGATATAGCGGCCTACTGGCCTCTTGGGCGGTGACTTCCCAGACCGAGCGGCCTCCCAGCAACCGGTACCTCCTCCCTTTCGGCGGAAACATCATTGCAGGCTCTGCTATCGTCCGGACAGGCCCTAGACTCGGGCTACTTGGACTGGTACCCGCCTGCCTCTAACCTTACCGCTACTGGGCGTCTAAAAATGCCAACCTTTTGTCTTCTTCTGCTCGGCCTCCAGTACCCGACACTTCTACCACTACGTGAGTGGTACCGGCCTACCTACTACTTGAGTGTTTTTCCCGCTGCTCTAAATGTCGCGGGCCTACCCCCGCTACTTGAGTGTTTTCCCCGCTGCAACCCTCAAAGTCATGGCCACAGGTAAGTACCGGCCCTGCAGGGCCTTTCAACCAACAAGTACCCTTGCGGGTCACACACACACTCAGCCGACAAGCGCTCAGACAGGCACGCAAACCAGCAGGCACACACACACACACACAGACTTGGAAACCACAGCAGAATGTGGAAATCTCAGCAAGGCATTCATTCCAGTGCCAAATCACTGAAATCAGCAGTGTTCTCAGTCTGTGTTTTGGCGGGTCATTACAGTTGCTGAACTTGCTGCACATTGGGTGCGATAGTAGGTACTACATATACGAGCGAATATGACACACGTCGGCCGTGATGACGTGCAGGATCACATGTACATCATCATCAGCATGTGGACTTCATAAGTTCTACATATAAAAGCGAATTTGACACGGGTCATCAGCCGCTAACACAACCTGGCTGAACCACAAAGTTTGCAAGGTAGTGCAAAGTTTTTTTTTTTTGTTGAAAAAACGCCCCCTCCAGTGTTAGCGGTGCTGGTAAGAGCAGCCACCACAAATTAGACTTCATTTCCCGCTGCAAAGTTGATAGGGCCGCTATTAGGGCGCTTTCGCCGATGTGAACAAAAACTGCACCCTGCCAATTTGAAAGTTCTTTTTGGCTAGTTGGAAACACCATTTCTCATTTGGACCAAATTCAGAGCAGGAGCGCAAAAATGCGGCAGCCCAGCGGGCCAGCGCGACATGCGGGTACCACATTTTCGTGAACCCTGCAAACTTTAAGTTGCTCGGTCACCACAAGCGGTTAGCAGGGACCCCCACTTTTCATATCCCGCTGCAAAGTTGCTCGAGGAGTATGGATTGTCACAAAGGGCTGCCTGCTCGTTCTCAAAAAAAAAAACAAAGAAAGAAAAGAAAAAGAAGAACAGCCTGCTGAACCTTCGGCGGAAACACAGCAAGGGAGAAGAGGTTGACGAGGAGGTTGACGAGGAGGGGGTTGTGTCCGACTGTATCGTCAGACCTTGCAGTGACTCTTTGAGTCCTTGGGCCTCGGTTCACTACTCTCGACATGCACAACAGACAAAAATCATGGTGGTGTATCTTTCCATGTTCTAGCGGAAGATTCACTCTCGTTTTGCACATTTCGAGAGTGGTGGACTGAGGCCCCTTGCCACAGCAGGCTGCCTTGGCAACAACCATAGGCATAAGGGGAGAAGAAGGAACCGAAGACTGCAACAGAAGGCTTTGTCAGACTTTCCTTGAATAGCGTCTTCACCCGAATAGAACGCCCGGTCATTATAGCCGTATTTGGTGCACTTTTCAGTCCAGATGCAGCGATAATGACCGGGCGTTCTATTCGGGTGAAGACGGTAGGGCATCGCCACACCACTGCTAAGAAGTTGAGAACGGCGATTTTGGGGAGTGCAGCGCCGCGACACCAGCTCCCGAATTCGGTTTGTCCGATTGCTGATACTGTTCAGTGCCATATCTTCTAGAGTGCTCTGGATTTATGGGAGCGCTCGCTGGGACCATCAGCGGGCATGGGACACCAACGAGCGGAGGACAAGGCTTCGCCTGAACTCAGACGTATTTATGAAGAGGTGCGAAAAACACCTCCACGCTCAGCAGGTGTCAAGTCCATTCCTCTTTGCTACCATCTTCAGCCGAGTACAACGTACAGTCATTATAGCTGTTTTTGACGTATCGTACAGTCTGAACACAGTATTAATGACCGTACATTGTATTCGGGCGAAGAAGGTAGTGGAAATGCATGCAGGACAGCCGGCAGTCTTTTCTTTCCTCTCCCTTCCCTTCCCTCCCCTCGCCCCCTGGCGCATTGCGCTCCTTACCAGTACCAGCGACCCTCCTCCAGTCCCCATTCTGCAGTCCGCGTCCCGGATTCAAGAGAGCCGTGCTTTGTCACA